AGGGCTAAAGCCCCCCCCCCCTTCCCAACTCCGCCGGGCCTGTTGCTATTCCTATTTCAAACATTGTGTTACTGTGCATTCTAAATTACATTGGGGCATTGTTGTCGCGCAAACTGTAATTATTTTGGACCCCATTGAGTCATATAATATCTACTCACCAGAAGTACACTGACTATTTAATTTTAGTTCTAAAACAACCCCGTCAGAAAGTACGCGTTGCATCGGAAGTGATTGTTAATTTGCCAGTCGTGGGAAACAGCCGTGTTTTCAGTATATAGTTCTTAGTGGGTTCATATCAGAATGCAAACGGCTGGAAATCACATTAAAACAAATTGGTTATCTTTCGAAAAGATGACGTGCTATTTCATCTTATTTTATATGATTGTGACTTATGTTGAGAATATCTATTTATAATTACCAGCGACGTCTTGGGATTTAGCCACCTAACATTATGTGACCAAAACTACATTATAACTTTGATATTTTTGATTAAGTATATTTATGATCACTACGCCATGCCATAAAGAAATGGCTTGTCGATCAATGTAAAGAAAATTAGTTCTAATGTAAAATAAAAAATATTTATGTCGTCATACTACTGATATTTGTTGTTTAATGCTCCCAAATTTTAATCGACAAAGTGAATATCTCTTTTAAATAATTTTTAAAACATATTTATTTTTATCAGCTTTTAATGACTTTATTTCCCATAGCTCGACAGTGAAAGGTCAATTTGGGGGTGAATCTTGGAGTTGCGTACCTACACAGATTCTTTCAGATGTGTAGAACAAGAAACTGCGTGATGCCACCCTGACGATCTTGGGCGTTTTTCGGAATATGCAAATTAAGGCCTGAATTAACCAAATTCAGTTTATTGACCATACTACTCTGAATATGCATAACATAATAAAATTGTCGTCTAACAGAGAGAGAGAGAGAGAGAGAGAGAAATGGGGTTTAACGTACTAACACATGGTTCAATTTTATTTCAATAATTCGCTTGCGCGTAGGGGTCCTTAGCAGTGGGAGGAAACCAGAGGACCTGGAGAAAACCCACGAGGTTGGACAGGCGACCCTACTCCTTGTCACGTACAACCGGGGAATCGAAACCACTCCAGTTGACTCAATGACAGGCAATATGATACAGCGCGCGCGTGCTAACTATTCGGCCATCCAACAGCCCTTTGTCGTCTAAGTTAAACTATAGTTATTTAAAACTAAAATAAGTTGATAGACTTCAATAGGAGCACGGCCTGATCGAGTGCATGTATATTTTCTTTCGAGAGCACTGGCATATTCAAATTTAGATAACAAAAGATTTGCGATCCAAAATTAGACTAATTGCATTCAGTATATACTAATAAGGAATTTTTTCCTTTTCTTTACAGACAATCGTATGGACATTTGTCTTGGCAATTGTTTTAAAAGCAGAAACAGCATACGTTGGATCCACTCTGGTGAATGGAAGGAGCGAAGCCGAGGATTTCTTTAGTTTAAATAAGAGAACAACCTCAGAGCCCTTTGCACCCGGTGCTCCGTTACCTTGGAGCTGTCGCAGAAACTCTCATTGGAAGCTACTTGGTGAAAACCATTACCCAAGCCGTCTGTTTGAAGTACAGTGTTTGAGTGATACTTGTTGGTATGGACATTATAACTGTACGTCTGTTTATGGCAGTGTCCAAGTTCTTAAACTGTGTTTGGCCACAAGATGTAGTGATCACAGAGTTCCAGTATCTCTCAGAAGGAACTGGCAATTTGTAGACGTGGATGTTAGTGTTGGATGCCAGTGTATGCGGTAATCATCGAAATGTTAGGACATTCTCTTTTTAAATCTGACGTAATAAAAGTATTCAGAACATACATTATCGCCTTTTCAAAAAAGGACCATCCATGAATTGGTATTAATAACTGTGATATTAGTATTTATGCATGGAAATCATTTATTATGTGTTAATTATGGAGAATTTCATGTACTTATGTCTTTATTTCTATATATTTACAAAGAATCTTCATATACACGGCAAGCTTAAGTAGATCTTGGCTATTATTTTTGTATATTTCAATTGAACATAAAGATGGGATTAGGCTACTCATTTATTTTATAGACATTCACAAATTTAAAAACACAACATGTGCCACATATTTCTTCGTTATATCGCGTAGAAACATTTAAAAGTATAATGAAGTCTCGCGTGTTTTACCAATATGCTTAGTTGAACCCTTTCCTAATAGCTTGGTCTTAGCGGACAACATAAAACAACCCCACCGTGCTTTAGCGGCCCATGATTCCCCCCGTATTTTCTACCTGCATGAGGTTTCGGCCTTAGTGTGCTGTAGAATAAATGATGATCACGATCTAACAGAACAGAGTAAAGACGACCATAGTTAGGGTGATTCACTGCCTCAAAAAGTTGTGCTTTAATTACTAACCTGTTGTTTAGCTTGTTTCCGCTCTAATCACAACAACAGCGAATGAAAAAAGTTCAGTCACGGGTTTGCTCGTGCAGTGCAGGCAGCAAACATTCGCCCTAAATAGACATTTACGTGACAATATTCATTCACCAATTTGTCAATGAAGCCATGAAAAAAAATTCTTCTTTGTTACTCTTTTAAAATTACGTAGTTACGAACTTGATTAAAACTTTGGCTAAAACTCGGTGATTTTAGTTATGATTTAGTTGATTGTAAAATGTGACGTATGTATTGTAACGATTGTCGGTTCAGAGTCACCTTGTGTAGTTTGGTTCTTTTTCTATCGTTTAAACTCACTGCCGCGGCAACTACCCGACACCGGGGCTATACTATATACCGGAAAACACCGAAAAACACCGGAAAACAACCGGAAAACTACCGGAAAACACCGGAAAAACACTAAATACCGGAAAACACACTAAATATCGGAAAACACACTAAATACCGGAAAACACACTAAATACCGGAAACCACCCTAAATAGGTAACCCGGAGAAGGGCTATACCTATTTAGGGTATTTTCCGGTATTTAGTGTGTTTTCCGGTATTTAGTGTTTTTACTGCACAATATATTTATGCATCTGTGGGACTAAAAATAAAACGTTAAATCATTAGATTTATAGAGGCCTTTATACCCTCCCCCTCTGTATTACATGTCATTATAATTTCCTTGTACTTTATCCGGCAATGTGATTTCTTTCTTTTTTCATAACAAAGATAATACTGCACAATATATTATTTATCTGTGGGGCTGCACAATATATTATTTATCTGTGGGACTAAAATTAATTAAAGTTTCAAATTATTAGATTTATAGAGCTCCCTCCCTCTCTTCTCGTCATATAAACACACAGATGTCCGTGGGTATAAAGAAATGAAATCACTATTCATTTTTATATTAGGCTAATCTTCAAAAGATTCGTTGACGTCGATCTTTCCATAACCAGCTAAACGTGAATTTTAATTGTCACTGAGTATTGTACACAGTTGATAAATAGAAATTTATTGTATTGAAGTTTGAAGGCGTCGGCATATCGTGTAAAAAAAAAATTTTTTAAAAACTAAGCAGCGTTTGCGCATGCGCACAGAGATTGAAAATTCAATCGTCTCATAGAGTGTATTCCGTTACTTCGCGGCAAGAATATAATCGATATAATCGATGTTTCCCGGCTGTGATGAAGACATTTTCGTCCAGCCAGGGACGTAGGTCTAAATTTTAATGTGACCAAGATCCATAACTAGTTTTGTCACCAAGAGTTAACTGCCTTGATAATGGGCCCTGGTCGTATTTTGAACAAATTTTTAAAAAATGCCAAAATGGTTATATCCTCAAAAATCAAACGTGGCTAGACTTCGATTGTTGATGAATGATTTTTTTACGGCAAGTCTTATCATATAATAATGAATGCTAAAATAAGCCCCACATATTGTTTGACCATGTGTCGCCCTACACTGTTAAAAAATTTTAAGCCACTTTACACGTTTTTGGGTGGCAACTTTGCTGCCACCATTTTTAGTGTAAAATAAATAACACTTTACTTGTGTAAAGCTATACCTGGAATGCAGTATTATTAACACCATAGATAATGCAATCTAGACACTTGCGTTGGTGTTGTGTGAGCATACACACTCACAGTGTCTTTCATACGGTATTCCTTATATGGTGTTTTGTCCATGAAAATACACCACAACCCCTGCTAGGTTTACACTGTAACTAGAGAAAGCATAACATTACACTACTTTGAAGGTAAACAGCTCATTACACTTATCTTAACTCCTCTTAATTTGCACGGGGGTTGGATGGCTGAATGGTTAGCGTGCGCGCGCTGTATCATAAAGTCTGTCATTGAGTTGACTAGCGTGGTTTCGAATCCCCGATTGTACGTGGTTTTCTCCGGGTCCTGCGGTTTCCTCCCACTGCTATAGACCCCTATGCGCAAGCGAATTATTGAAATAAAATTAAACCATATGTTAGTCCCGAAATGACCTAGTTTGTGTCGAGTGGAGGTTAAACCCCATTTCTCTCTCTCTCTCTCTCTTAATTTGCACTGGATGAGGTGTAGGTTTACACTTTTATATGTTTAAATAACACACAACACTTTTTATGGGGTAATAAAGAAGACACATTTGGTAGGTGTATACTATCACTTCAATAGGTGCTTTTCAAACCCCACAAACCCTGTATAATATGGCGTAATGCTTACACCCTTCTTGGTGGCAACTTTTGCTGCCACCCAAAGAGATTTAATATGCACTTTACACAAAATAATTTTGTTGTAGAGTAACAGCTAAATAAGGTTTAACAAAAAAAATTATCAGATCTATGAAAACTTATAATGATCCACACTTATAAAATCATATAGAAGCACTGATCTAAGTATCTATATAAATATATAGATTTTACCTTTTAAGGAAACAAAAAGGATTATAAGATACAGAAAATAGTTTATTATAAATTTGTTTTTGATAATACAAATTATTAGAAATAATACTGACATATCTACTGATATCAATTTAATGAAAGCAAGAGACTACAAAATCTTTAAACATTATTATAAAGATTATAAATCAATATATATATAAGCAAATGATTTATCATGTCTATATATTATCTAAAGTATACAGGTAAAACATTTTGACATCAATGAGGACTAAAAAAAATTAGGACTTTACTGCTTTACAGAAATACGCCCATAAAGCAGCTATGTCTCAACAGCAGCATATTTTAAAGGAACACTTACATAAAGGATCTATGATCCTACAAAAAAAAATCTGATCTCTATCCAGACAGATAATATGTCTTTGGAACAGAAAGTCACAGATTGCTTCACACAAATTTGAAAATTAATAGGGTTAATCTTCAAACAGTCCTAATTATTCACATAAACCAAATCTGTCAAGATCTTTTGGACATACATGTATAGCTATATTTCAAGTTTTGTCGAAATTGGATAAAAATTGTGACCCTATGTGAACTGACATACCCACGGATAGGGGCGTAATGGTATGGAAATCGGCTGCAAAACTGCAGCCTTTATCGCATTAACAATGTTTTGGGAAAGGGGTGATAACATAGGAATGACAAGTTGCATAGCTCTGACAATTGATATTGTTCATCCTCTCATTACCCAAAAGCTTCACATAAATTTGAAAAAAAATCTGTTAAAACCGTAGCCCAAATTGTGTCAAAGGGTCAATTGTTCACCTACAGACATGGGGGACAACATGATACACCCACACATAAATATGAGCACACAAAAAATATTAAACCATTTTACAAATCCACCTTTGTTGCATTACTTCAATTCAAAATACCAATACCTCATAAAAAGTAAGAATGTATAAAAAATGTAACGAATTATGAAATGTAAGAAATAATCTTCTCATATATAAATCAATTATTTGCAAAACATTTCTTCATCATTGTCTAAACTAAAACATATGGCCAAATAGTTTCAAACAAAAGTTAGGATGAACAAAACTAAGGCTATCCTTGCCTTACATCAGCATACAACAAAAACACAGAAACTGTTGAATACTCTACATCAATCATATATTAACAAAATAATTTAAGGGAGCCTCATAGTCATATCTTCAAATGTACTTGGAGTACATTTTAGTTTAGACACTTTTTAAAGGTTACCAGAAAACTTTATAAACCATTTAAATAATGGAAGTAATTATGTCGCCATATCCTTTCCATAGGTATAAAATGATGTCATGATTTTCTGATTGCTGGAAAATTACGACTGCTCATGGAGAACGTCAGAAATCGTTAACATGGAAATTTACCTGTTGGAGACAACATTGACATTCGGGATCATTTTATACTTATGGAAAGGATATGGCGAAATATTTACTTCCATTATTTAAATGATTAATAATGCTTTTCCGGTAACCTGAAGGACTTAAATGATGTCATGATTTTCTGATTGCTGGAAAATTACGACTGCTCATGGAGAACGTCAGAAATCGTTAACATGGAAATTTACCTGTTGGAGACAACATTGACATTCGGGATCATTTTATACTTATGGAAAGGAACTTATAGCCCAAGTACAATTACTTAAGTATTAACAAGTATACAGGAACTTACTATAAAGTACGCCAACAAGTACAGTAACTTAAGTATTAACAAGTATAGGAACTTGTATATTAAAAGCACACTATTAAGTACAGTAACTTGTGTATTAACTTAACAAATACAGTAACTGAAATAATAACAAGTACAGGAACTTAAGTACTACCGGTACTTGAAAACACTTTTACAACAGGTACATGTCACCGAACCCCCTTATACTACTTGTAGCAAAAACAAAAAGCTTAGAAATTTCAATAATAGAAAGACCCCTTCAAAAAACTACAATAACTTGCAATTGAAAGACTGTAAATATTATTAAAACCAAAAGAAAATTAACCCTACTTCCACCGTAGAAATGCACATTATAATGCATCATATTAGCATACTAAGATAATCAGAATATACTGTTCTACTGATGTACATGTGACTCTATAAATAAACGGATGAAAGGCTTTACGAATATCACCAATATATTTACCTACAAAAGTGTAGGTCATAAGGATTGAAGAAACTAGTCTCTGTAGATTTCTTGCACACTTTCAAATGATAGGTTGTTTGAATCAAAATTCGATGGGGTAACTTTCAGATATTTAATGTTTGAATTTTCGATGATAGTTATGACTTTTGTAAGACTTAGTCTGCTGCAAAAACTTATATCCAGAACATCAATGTCAGGTACAAGTCTAGCAACTTCAATTAGTTCAGTTTCCCTAAGTGTGTAACAATGACACATCTCCAAAGATTGCAAATTTAATCTACCGCGAGCTCTAAATAATGAGTTTACATTTATGCGTGGACAATGTGAAATATTGAGGAATTTCAAGTCTGCAAAATAGGCTAACTTCTGTCACAAAATTGCTAAGCACAGTTACATGGGTCAAATTGTCACACAACGGCAAATGTGTAGCCAGGACACCTGGTGATAAGCTAGACAACCATGAACCAGATAATGCTATTTTCTTAACTTGATTATAATGCATAACAGTAACATGACTCAACCCTAGATAGCTATTAATGATATCTTCATCAACACTTGACCACAGCGATGAGAGTTGAACAATGCCCCAAAATCTTTTGCACACAAATTGGAGACTCACTAATCTTTCCTTCTGTTTAATGTATTGAAAGATATTAACCAAGTTGGTAAATTTTTAATACCTGAAAATGGAAATTCAGGAATGAATCATGAGACAGAAAGATAAAAACTTAAATTCTGCATAATCATTCAGGAAATATATAATACAGTTTAATAAACATAAGTTATCCAACATGCAATGGGACAAAAAGAAATATGTCTGTGGATAAAAACCTCAGTCTAAGACAAATATTAAAATTATATAGTGAACATCAAAACAGCTACATGACAAAATTTAAAGAGGGTACAACATCACATGTTGTAAATGCTGTTAAATAGAGGGACTATAAAGATCTTTTAGAATACAGTTGATTGGCAGACGGACACCCAACAGCACTTAGAACAGTTTTTAGTGCGCTTGGTTTCTCGCTCTCAACAAGGAAAGTAGAACTATCATGTAGCCATTTTTATCTGCCCACATAAACCACGCCTTTAACATTCTGGGGAAATTGCTCATATTCCACCTTTCTATTTAATTTATTTACATATTAGTAGTTCAGCATCGTAATTCTTTGTGCAATTAGATGTGCTTTGATGAAATAGGGAATTCTTTATATCATAATACTAACGAAACAGAAACACTAGATGTAAAACATACAAGTAATTGTAATATCACCAACAACAATATCACCATTATTGATCACACATATTTTCTTTAAAAAAGGTCTCACTTAAAATTTGACACAATTTTTAACCTCCTTTGAAATGTTTATCACATGAGCTTGAAATAGTATTTATCAAAAGCATTTTTTCTGAATTTTGTCCCACACATTTATAATTTTTGATGGTGATCTTTTCTTGGGTGTTGTGTTCATTAAACAGTACTGAAGATAATTTTTCGGGTATTAAATGTTGAATACGTAATACGACACAAAGAGGCTGTAAACTCTTAATCTGTATTCAGAAGAATATTTCCCTTGATTATGAGATAAAACAAACTGGATTCTTGTATGGTACCCACACTAGCAATATGTGGATTGGGTGGACCTTCGATTATATCAGCTGTGGATGTTGTGTTCTGAAAAATAAAAACATACAAAGGAGTCCCACTTTATGCAAAAATAGATCAATTAAAGGACTTTTGAGATCTTAAGTATACGAAAAATAGTCTTTGTAGCTAATTATATGTGTAACTGTCACTTTAAATTACATGCAGGGAGCCACGGCGGCTCAGCGGGTAACATGCTGGCTCGCTAACATGAAGGTAGGGTATTCGATCTCTGCATTGGCAGAGAAAGTTCATCAGGATTCCCCTTGTCAGTGGTGCAGGACAGAGAGCCTAGCAAGGGACAACGTATAGTTTCTACGAAAACAGAGGTCCCGTGCACACATTGGGGTGCACGTAAAAGATCCTTTGACAGTTGGAATTTGATATAACAGTAGTTCGTAGTGCTGCTGTCCGGGCAAAATTTCCCTCATCGCACACTGTATGCCCATCTTCCTTAGCCCAGTCAGAGAATAACAGCAAGATGTTAACCCTCATTTCAGTTCATTTTATCTTCAAACTACATGCAATAAACTAAACTGACTTTTGACGTGCAATTATTGACGTGCAATCATCCTGGTGATTAAACGTACATTTTAAACGTGTGGATGTGAGGGGGGTGGGGGTGGGGGGGGGAAGCAGACACTTAACCTGAAGTGCAGCTCTAACCAATACATGAACAAAACTAATATTCATTGCATGTTAAGCAGCACCCCTCTACAAGTATGTTCCCTTACAACCACCATTCCATACAACTATTCCATACAATTATACAACTATATATTATCACATCCTGCAACTACATCTAATGCTAAAATAATGATACACAATACTGACACTTACTGGATACTCTACAAATGCTAAATTTCTATCTACATCTAACAAGAGCATCGCTAACGCTGCAATATACGTCCACATTCCAGCAATAAATAGTTGCTGCCTTTACGGTATAAGGAATAAATATGCAAAGTTCCAAGATAATCCATTCAGAATTGCAGCTTGTAGACGATAAATACAAAAAAATGGGTGTTGCTCTGCCCCTGGGGGTTGGATATGGAACAATATAAATAGGTACCACCCTGTTATTGAAATGACAACATCAATAGTTGGCGTCCTTAGGGTATAAGGAATAAGTATTCCAAGTTCCAAGATAATCCATTCAGAATTGTGGCCTTCGGGCGCTAAAGGCAAAACTTGAGCGTGGCTCTGCCCCTGGGGGTCGGGGCATTCACCAAAATCAATAGTTGACGTCCTTAGGCTATAAGGAATACATATGCCAAGTACAAAGTTGATCCATTCAGAACTCCGGTCTGTAAACGATAAACACAAAAATTGGGCGTGCCTCTGCCCCTGGGGGTCGGGACATGCAGTTGTTGTCCTTAGGCTATAAGGAATACATATCCCAAGTTCAAAGACAATCCGTTAGGAATCGTGGCCTGTAGGCAACTCACAGAGACACAAAGAACAAATGGGTGTGGCTCTGCCCCTGGGAGTTGGACAATTACCAAAAAACAATAGAGGGCATCCTTAGGGTATAAGGAATAGGTATGCAAAAGTTTCAAAATGATCTGTTAAGGCCTGTGGCTCTGACCCAGGGAGTCGGACATGCACCAAAAACAATAGGGATCATCCTTAAGGTATAAGGAATTCATACGAAACTTTTTCAAGACGATCGATTAAGAATTGTGGCCTGTAGGCGACACACAAAAAGAAAATGGGCGTTGCTTTGTCCCTGGGGGTTGAGCATGCACCCGAAACGATAGGGATATTCCTTAGGGTACAAAGAATAAGTATGCAAAGTTTCAAGATGGTACGTTAAGAAATACGGCCTGTAGACGACAAACAAATACACGAAATGGGCGTGGCTCTCTGCCGCTGGGGGTTGGGCATGCACCCCAAACGATAGGAATGTTCCTTATGGTATAAAGAATAAGTATGCAAAGTTTCAAGATGATACGTTAAGAAATGCGGCCTGTAGACGACAAACAAATACAAGAATGGGTGAAGCTCTGCCCCTGGGGATCAGGCATGCACCAAAAACATTAGGGATCATCCATAGGGTATAAGGAATTCATACGAAATTTTTTCAAGACGATCGATTAAGAATTGTTGCCTGTAGGCGGCACACAGACACGCAAAAGGAAAATGGGTGTGGCTTTGCCGCTGGGGGTTGGGCATGCACCCCAAACGACAGGGATTTCCTTAGGGTACAAAGAATGAGTAAGCAAAGTTTCAAGATGATAGGTTAAGAAATGCGACCTGTAGACGACAAACAAGACAAACAAACAAATACAAGAAATGGGCGTGGCTCTGCCCCTGGGGATCGGACATGCACCGAAAACAATAGTGATCATCCATAGGGTATAAGGAATTCATACGAAATTTTTTCAAGAGGATCGATTAAGAATTGTGGCCTGTAGGCGGCACACAGACACACAAAAAGAAAATGGGCGTGGCTCTGCCCCTGGGGTTTGGGCATGCACCCCAAACGATAGGGATGTTCCTTAGGGTACAAAGAATGAGTATGCATAGTTTCAAGATGATACGTTAAGAAATACGGCCTGTAGACGACAAACAAACAAATACAAGATATGGGCGTTGCTCTGCCCCTGGGGATCGGGCAGGCACCGAAAACAATAGGGATCATCCATAGGATATAAGGAATACGTGTGTAAAGTTTCAAGATGATCACTTAAGAATTGTGGCCTGTAGGCGACACACAGATACACAAAAAGAAAATGGGCGTGGCTCTGCCCCTGGGGGTTGGACATGCACCCCAAACGATAGGGATGTTCCTTAGGGTACAAAGAATAAATATACAAAGTTTCACTATGATACGTTAAGAAATGCGGCAGGGACGCAGATCGGCAAAAATTAGTGATGGGGAAAGTCCATGCGCGGACGACTATTGGTAAAGAGGGGGGTTCGGGGGCCCTCTCCCGAAATTTTTTGAAAACTAGACGCGTGGGTCTTTTCAGCATCATTTTCTGGCAAACAATTCTAATCCCTGAGGCAGCAAATGATACGAAATCTAATCTAAAGACAAATCTTCAAGCCACCGTTCACGATTTATTCTCTCATGTACACTACAAGTATTAGAAATATTTACACTACTGAGATTCCAGCTCCGCCTCCATTACCAGTAGTGTTCGATCCCAATAATAACTTAAAGAATATTTTCTTTAGAAATTTATAAGTGTTCATATAGAGTCGGGCCCGTAGGCTGGAAGCAAGGTGAGCGGGTTCGTTTGTGAAATAAAAGGACCGACTATATAACCGAACGCCGCTGGCGTGAGCTGCTAGAGGTGGGGTAAGGTGAGGTGAGGTGAGGTGGGGTGGGGAGGGGGTGGTTGTCTTTTACAATTTTTTTAATTTTTGTTGCAAAATGGTGTCTAAATATGCATTCTCAGCGATTCTGAGGAGTTTTTACCAATAACAAAATAGTTCAGAGAGCAATTTTTTAATATGAAATGAAATGGAGTTTAACGTCAATTTTTTAATAGAAAAAAACATTCAATAAAGTGTTTAATATATTTAAAACTAAAGAACAGTAGGCCTACACTTATATCCACTCTGCCCGTTTCTTTTCCCTTTTTCTTCTTTCTGGACGGCCCATGACAGGTTTTAAAACATGTCTTTTCCGATAAATTTCCTAAATTTCTAAACAGCAAAAACATTTCACTTACTTGTAATAATAAGTACACGATTCTTGGCTCCGCTTACTGTACTTCAAAAAATAGAGGGTTCGAGTCTTAAATTTTAGATTTAATTGCCTCTATTCCACAGAGAGAGATAGAACCCAGTCTTTAAAAATACGTTTATTTAGTATGGCAGCAAATCTAGCAATGAATGGTTCCCCTGATATACAAACTAAATCCTTTAGTTAGGTGATTTATCATCCAGTATACCAGATAAAAACAAAATCTCAGTTATTACTTAACCCTTTAATACCCAGCGTATCAGATATGCACACATACATGATATACATATTATAATCCCTATGGAATCTTTTAATTATTTACTGTTATAATATGAATTATCACTTATTCCCTGTTAAATAAAAATCGGTCACAGGGTGCAGCTGTACAACTTCAAGGTGCCTGTCCTCTAGTGCCTGGGACCAACTCTACACTTTCTGAAATGTCAATAAAAGCTCTGGAATGATTTCAATTTAAAAAAAATAAACAGTAAGCAAAACATCGGAAATAAGTGGTGGGGACACGGTATATCGTGTCCCCGCCACTAAAAATATTGGTGGGGACGCGTCCCGGTGTCCCCACCGGGATCTGCGCCCATGGACAGGGGCGACGACAATATACGTCCACATTCATAATGTGGACGTATAAAAATACTTGGAATATTCTTTATCATTATTCAGTTTAATGTCTTTATAGTCAGCAAGTTTTTTGAAACAAGTTATCAAATATTCTGACTTTTTCTTTCTTTGTTCTGCAAAGTACAATGTAGCCAAGGCATGTCTGTGGATATTTTCCAGCAGTTCCTTAACTGATTTTGTTTCACTAGGCATACGACTCTTAAATTCATTGTGAAGTTCAGACTGGATTTTCAGTCCAGGAAAATTAGTTAATAGAGTATGAATGGGAGTACCTGAAATTACTTCTGTCCAGTTAGTACCAAATGTTTTGTGCATTAAATTAGAAATAAGGTTTACGTCTTCATGGTATATCTTATCGTCTGCAAATCTGTCATCATTCTGCCGAGTTCTTCATTTTCTTCCAAATCTGCTGTAGCCCAATTGGCCACACCTTTTATTTGCAGTTTTGTTGATGTTGCAACACTTATTGACACACTATATAATGGTTTGACTTTTTGTTTTTAATCTGCATTTCTGGACTTTTTTATGCACTGTTTCAAGCCATCATATCCACTTCCTATTGGTTCCTTGAGACTAGGGAATTGTCTTATCAAGTTTTTGCTGAACTGCTGAATATGTTCGGCTTTTGGATATAATGTATTTGCAAATATGTGATCTTGTATGTTTTGCAATAGTCGATTTTGCATCATTGTTTTAG